GTCCTCCTCTAGGATCGATGGCTTCACCAGCCATTGATGGGGGTTAAGTTTCAGAGTACTGGACATTGAGTGCTTCCAATTGAACAGAACTTAAGCCCAATTAGATAGAAGTTGGTTACCTGAGCTTTCTTACATCAGTGTTTCAATTTTTTTTTTCGTTATTGAGGTCTTTCACCACTTATTGACTTTTTGAAGCTTTTGTAAATGATATTTTTATTTCCTGATTTTCTGCTCCATAAATTTATTGTTGGTAGGCAAGAAAGCTATTGGGCTTTGTGTCTTGATTTTTTCCATTCTTCTACTTTGTGGAATGTGTTTGTGAGATCTAAGAGATTTTAAGTAGAATCTTAAAGTCTTGTAAATGTAGATTTGTGTTGGGAAAATTTAAGCCCTATAGGATTCTTAATACAAAATTAGATTTGCATATACAAAAATAAGCATTACTATAATCTCTAATAACCAATAAATATAACATCAGTGAGGGAAAAAAAAGTCAGATTCCGCATGATTTTCCCAGAAGCTTTAATTTTAGGTATATTTTCTTTTATATCATTAAAAATGCAAAAGAAGCAAAAAAAATCAGATTCCCACAAATGATACATTGTATCACTTCATACAGAAGCTCCTCTAGATGATGGTTCAGGAGTAAAAAACAAACTGCAAGTAGTCTGTGTCTTCTGGACCATTAACAAGGGATAAGGCATGGCGTTAAGACAAGTGAAGCCCACAGGGAAGGGTGGAAATGGGAGTGGCGTGTTACTAATGTTTTTCTAAAGAGGAAAGAAGTAAATGTGAGTAACCAAGGGGGTAGGAAACTAGGTTTTCCTTTTATATATTAATTAGAGTAAGATTTAAACATGGTCTGGGCCAGTTCAGCTTTTGTCTTATTCCTGTCTTTAATATTTTGGCAGATAGAGGAAGTTGGCCACAGAAGTGTGATCCCACTAGCAACGTGACTATTCCTCATATGGCCTGCTTTCCAGGAGGCCCAGTTCTGCTGCCTGGGAATGTTTTGAAATTGTGTGTCTTTGAAAGCTACTGTGGCTTCTTGAGTAAATGGTGATCCCTAACGTATTTTCTATCAGTCAGTTTGTCTCATTACTTTTTTCCAACCTCCTTTCCTTGGGACCCCCACCCCACTCCACAAAGAGCAGGCTTTAGCCACATGAAAAGTAAATGAACAAGCATCCACTCCTAAGTTTGTCTCCAGCTCCACCATCTTGAGTACAGTAATGTGTTATTGATGATGATAATCAGTCTCCACTGTAGGGCTCTGCGAAACTGGTCCTACAGAGGTCTCTGGTAATTATTTTCTTTAATTAGTTACAAGATTCCTCTGGGATGCAAAGCCTCTTAGGCTCAAGGATGACAGAACTGGATATGAGAGATAGAGAGGCAGGCTATAGTACTTGTTACACCTGTGGCTACAGAGAATAAAGGAGCACAGTATCTTTTTTCAGGACTCAGAAGTCATCCTATGAACTCTGGGTAAAGATGGGTTGTTTCCTAACAGTTCTTCTAGACTGAAGGTAGTGATTGCATGATGCTATACAGGACAAGTTTTAAAGTATGATAAAATTATTCATTATTATCTCTTCCCCCTGAAGACTTTTCTATTGTATTTTGTTTCTTTGACACAATTTATAATCTTTTTAGTAATGAGAGACTTCTTTACAATTTCTTCTTATGCAAAGGTCTTAAAGACCAAGTCATTGCAACACAATTGTTTGTTTGGGTTTTAGGAAGGGACTCATTTTTTCATTCTAAGGGTGCTTTAAACTCAAAGGGATTTTATGCCCTCAGCCTCTCGAGTGCTGGGACTCCAGTTATGTACTACTGTGCCCGGCATACTGAATCTCAAGTAAGCTTTAATGTACCTCCTGTATATTAAGTTTTTAAGTCTTCTTTAACATACCTTCACCTATAGAGCTTTAATAAACTATGAACAATTTGAAAGATCCTAGATCATAATAAATATATCTGACAGAGCTCAAATACCTATGTGCTTAGCAGTAATGGATGCAATTCTTCCTAAATGTAGTCCACTGGCCATACTGTTGACATCTTCCGTGTGTGCATTTGTGATGTGGATTCTAAACTACAAAGGCACAATCAGTGTCTGTGATCAATTTCAGATGAGAAACTTTGGACTTATGAAAAATATGTGAGTGGGTCAGATGTACAGTGTCCTGTAAGATTGGTGAATAAAAAATCATTTTCTTAGTTCAGAGAGTGTCACTAAGGTTGATGTAGGAAAATAAATGTGATGGTTAATTTATTTTATACATTATTGTAAATATAAAAAGAAACATGTACTTGTCTCAAAATCTCTGGTGCTTTGCTCCTATATCTAAACTATTATGTGAAGTTTCTTGTATATTTAATGTTAGGAACATTTCCATAGGAAACTCTCATGTGATTTCCAGATCTAAAAGTGTATATTTGACAGCTGAAAAAATACAAAGTCATTAGGTTGTCAGTAATCAGCACTCCAGGTGAGGTCTCTGGATTCTGATGGCTTCACGTGCTTCTACACAAGACACAGGTCCCTGTCATTCAAAAGGCAGGACTTCAGAGATTGTGAGAGTTCTCATATGTATTGCTTCCCATTGTAATACTCACATAATCAAACAGTGAATTCCATAAACTCCATAAACAGAGTGAAGCATCTGATTTTGATTCATTGACTCTCTGCTCTGCCTCATTCTTTCTCTCTCTTCCTCTGTCCTCTTTCTCACTCTCATTTTTGTGTGCTTGTCTGTGGGAATGGTTTTCTTTCTTTGACTGTTTGGTGCTAGATGCCATACACAGCACTTGGAACATGCTAGGCAAGAGCCGATCCACTGAGCTACATTCCAAGCCCTCCCACGTCGCTCAAGGAGCCTCTTCTGCTTCCTTTGCCAAAATTGAAAGATGTTGTACATTGTTAGAGAAAGTTTTTTCCAGGAGAACTACAGCAGGGTGGGGTGTTCCTAACTGGATAAATCCAGTGTCTGCAGGCCCAGTCAGCAGAGCAGAGTCCCTGAAAAGATTAGAGGTTGCTGTTGTAAGTCCAAGGCAGTCCTGAGGCAAAATTCTTCAGGAGAGTACACTTTCTTCTGATATCCTTCAATTTGTTGTGTGAGTCTCATTACAGTTTAAATGGTAATCCTCTTTATTCAAATGTGCAGACTAAAATACTAATAATGTTGAAATGAAACTACAGAGAAACATTAAAACTGACATTTCTCAAAACCCAGAATCAGGACCAAAGTTGATACCTCTAATGACCTGGACATAATTGATTGGATGTGAGAGAGAAAGCCCCAGAGATTTTGAAACAAGCGCATCCATTCTTTTATATTTTCAATAATTTATAAACATAATCATCACATTCATTTTTATATATCAACTTCAATGACACTCATGGAACTGAAGCATGAAGATTTTATTTTTTAGGCACCAACGTCACAGAAAAAAATGTACGTGTGACCTACCCACATAGTTTAGTAAACACAAAATTTTCATTACAAAGTATTAAGTTTTCATGCTAAATTGATGTAACTATAGAGCATGAAAATATTTTTGAAGAGTATTTATTCTAATTGAAATGGAAACTTTAAGCTTTAACAGTAAATTAACCAATTTGAAGCTGAAGCATAGCCAGTATATACTCAGAAAACATTGGTTACAACCAAGCCTCATGTCAGGTAGTGGTCCTGCTGCAAGAAGGCAGAATAAAGTCCTTCCTGCATGGAGTTTGCAGTGTGGTGTGAAATCCGATAAACCAGTGGTCAGAGGCATTGGGGGCAGTGGGGAAAGAATGAGCTGCTTGGGAATACGGTAGCAGGCTCCTTCTGGTCTCATTAGCTATTCAAGGTTTGGTTAAGCAAGAATCTCCTGATATGCATGAAGGATATGCCAGAAAAAGAAATCACAGATAACAGAGGGTGATAGTAATGAGAAATAGCCAACTTTGAAAACTGAAGACAAGGTGCTATAACTTCCAACAAGGCTTTAGTGCAGAGTAGAATAAAAATGTGAAGCTGTGTGCATGCTGAAGAGTATGCCTTTTTTAATATTTTTGGTTATGAGCCTAGCCTTTAATGGTTGAGCCATATCTCCATCTCTTAAGAGCAATGATAATCCCCATGAAGCAATAATCAGAAAAAAAAAAACATCAGATTACCATCTTAGGATTTTACTGTACAGATGAAGCATGTTTTAGAAGAGTTTGATAGCATGGATACTGACAGAAAGGAAACCTCTGCTTTGACGTTCTAGGAGAGAGGATATCACATTGTTCTATGAATATGGTCTTTCGTTAAGCCATGGAGGAGCACTAAGTGAACACGGAGGAGAATCTTTTGACATCCTAGACTGAAGGTAAAATAAATAAATGTATACTCTAAAATTCATATTTTTGGTGTATTTTAGAATTCTTTTACTGACCTATAAAAGCAGAGGAGTAGGGAATCAGGAGTGAGTTGAGTAAGTACACTAAGATGAATTTGGAAACTGTTGAACTTCAGATTCCTGTGGTACACCAAATAAGATAATTAACAATGCAATACAGAATCTATAGGTAAAAATAATGCGTATTCATTGATAGTTTGACATTTGTCATGAGTCTATACATAAAATTTTGAGAGGCTTTGGCTTAGAAAACATCTTAGAGGACTATGGCAATGTGAGGCACTGATAGAAAAGGAGCTAACTACTGTCATTTAATATTCACAGAATAATGGTGACAAATCAGATAAGAAAAAACACAATGAACTGTGTGTCTCAGAATCAAATATATAAAACGTTTAGGAAGTAATTTGAAACACTGAAACATATAGAAATACCTAAATATTCAACATCAGTATTATAGAGATCACAAACTTTTAGGGTGTGTATGTAATTATTATAATGATTAAGGAATTATTGTTGCTGAATGCGAAACAGAAGATTAACAAGAAGATATGATATTTATTTTGAAAGATGATGTTATATTTTCTCTTATAGGTATTATAGACAGCATGACAGAAGGGAACCAAACTATTATCTCAAAGTTCCTCCTTCTGGGCCTGCCCATTCCCCCAGAGCACCAGCATCTGTTCTATGCCCTGTTCCTGGTCATGTACCTCACCACTGTCCTGGGGAACCTCATCATCATCATCCTCATTCTACTGGACTCCCATCTCCACACACCCATGTACTTGTTTCTCAGCAACTTGTCCTTCTCTGACCTCTGCTTTTCCTCCGTCACAATGCCCAAGTTGCTGCAGAACATGCAGAGCCAAGATCCATCCATCACTTATGTGGGTTGTCTGACACAAATGTATTTTTTCTTGCTTTTTGGAGACCTTGAGAGCTTCCTTCTGGTAGCCATGGCCTATGACCGCTATGTGGCCATCTGCTTCCCCCTTCATTACAGCAGCATCATGAGCCCCAAGCTCTGTGGGAGTCTGGTGGTGCTGTCCTGGGTTCTGACCACATTCCATGCCATGCTGCACACCCTGCTCATGGCCA